AGCGGTCACCAGTATGGCGATCGGTCAAGATCGCCATACTTTCCCTATGTTATAGACAATATAACAGCCGGAAAAGTAAAAAATGAATTGGATTAGATAGATGAATTAAAGCCGATCAGCCAATTTTCTATGGAAAAACGATCTCTATTTAGGTGATAGACAAGTGGAGAGACAGCCGGATGGCCAAGCGGTCAAGGTGGGGGCTACCTTGACCGCTCTGGGAGCCTGGGATCGAAACCGGACGGGTCAAGGAATACCCAGGAATTTTTCGGGGGATGGTCCGTTCGGATATGTCGGGCCTCGTCCCTCACCACCCGGTCGCCCCATTTTGGGCTTGGCCGAACCCATAATGGGCCTGCTTTAAGAGGCCCTCTTAGTGCTTACTGGGCGGAAAGAGTATTAAAATAATAAAAAAAAAAAAGACAAGTGGAGAAACACAGAAAACTCCACGTGACCAGCCTACTGGAGAGGTACGAATCCGCGATCAGTATTTAGTGATTTTATCCACTCGATTACTGACAGGCTATTCTTCGAGAAACATCGTAACATGACTGAAAACTACTTACAGGCAAAATAAAAATCCTTAACCATTCAAAGTAACTATTTAATTTTTGTTCTACTGAGTATATTTTATGCGCTCTAAAACAATGTCTTGATACCGTCCACTTTCGTCTCCAATTTTGTAAAATTGCTTTTAATTGTGCCAAAAAGTGTTTCTTAATGTTTCATAAATTATGAATCTTATTTTGTGTTTTAGTGTTTCATATTTTATAATAAATAATATAGTAAACTCTAGTTAACATATTGTGAAAAGAACAAAACATTTTACAGTTAACGACATTTTCAGTTACGGAAACAAAAACAACCGTTTGTTTTAATTGCCGACCATTTGGCTGAGCTCTGGGGAATTCGGTCGAACAACTCAGGGAATTTTATATGGGTGGCAAGGCCGAACCCATGATGAGTATGAAGCAAAAGGCCTTGTTCATAACCGTAAAGTGGAGAGGTTTAAAAAGTCTGTTAAACAAATTTCTTGTCAACGATTTATTGCTTTTTCCTCAAGTGTTTTCAGTTTGGTTTGGTTGGTTGATAGCATACAACAAACGCATGTAGGTCGTCTACCAATGAGGTACCTCTCGAGAATGCTTTCCATGGAAAATCGCCTCTATTTAGATGTTAGACACGTAAAAAAAAATCAGGAAAACTCCACGTGGCCAGTCCGTTGGAGAGGTCAACGGATTGACCACACCCAGGACAACTACCAGTATTTTATCCACTCAGACATTGGTATCTGCAGAGCAGAGTCGAAAACGGAAAAACAAAATTCATCGCTTGTATCTTGAACTTGATTCTTTACTTCAACAATGATTCCATCAGAAGTGTCCACAAATATCTAAATCAATGTCAATGTTGACAAAATCTTCGATAGACACTTTTTTTTCTTTCATTTTTATCACAAACACTGCTGTAACGAGATTGACCACTCTTCAATAATATAATCGACGGTTACTAATGGAAATAGCGATTTATTCGAAGCATTAATAAATTATTGACCAAAATACGCTTTTGTAAGGCAATTTACAATGAAACTTTGTGGAACTTTATTCCAAACTTAATCATTCACAATGTATGTAGCAGGTGCAATCAAAACTCACGCGATCCATCTTCAACAACATGCAACATCTTTCATACCATAATCCTTCTACATCATAATTTAATTAGTGTTAAATGATTCCCTGATTTGAAGGTTGTAATGTAGAAGTTGTATTTGGTTGTGAAAAAGAATGGGAATCATCGAATGTGCATCACAATTATCGATTAAAAAAATCAAACAAAAATAAAATATTTTTTTGTTTTCGGCAATCATGCGAATGTCTAAACTTTCAGCTAGTTAGAAAAAAGCTCTGATGTCATCAATGCTTTCTTATTTGTTGCATATTTGACCTTGCAGAAACATCCAGGCTTGGATTAATTGAAAATTTTCTAATTAATAACGATGGCAGTTTTTCATCACCTGTGATTTCTGCTCCCAAAGGAGTTACACTTTCTTTGCTTCTTTTTACCTCGATGAATAAGTCACTTCTGAACACCATCGTTTTCTCTAACAGACATTTAAAAATTAAGCCCGTTTTATTTGCGTTGAAAGTCATCCGGACTACAGTTCAGTACGTCTGGTAAACTTTTCAATCACTTCACGCAATCCTTTGCTCGCATTTCTGAACTTTTGCAATAATTTTATTGAAAACTATCCATGCCTCTTCATAAATTTATATAGCTACCAGCTACTTGCTTTGAATTTGGCATGTTTCAACTGTTTAGCATTTTCTTTTAAGAACTTTTCTATCGACGCAAATATTCTTGTTTCTACACTGTACTAGCCACTTCAGCAAGCACTTTTTAGTACATGGATACTCGATCGGACGGCTAGGCTGAGGAACCAGGGGATCTAATCCAGACGAGTCGGAAAACTCCAGGAATTTTTCAGGTAAATGGTCCATACCCTTACCACCAGGCCTCCCAATTGTGTGCCTGGTAGAATCCATAATGTGCTTGCTAAAAATGGCCCACATAGATCCCACGGAGCAGAAAGCTTGAAAACAGTAATTGGATACTTACATTTACGTTTTATTATGCGTTTGTCTGATTTTGTTCATTAAAGCTTTCTAAAATTCTTTCTTTTTTCAAATATATATATATTTTTTACTCTTTTTGTCCTGTGGGCACTATCGAGGGTCTATTTCAAGGCTCCACAAATTTCGGCCCATCCTTTAACACGCAAGCCAGGCTGGATGGTAAGGGACAAGCCCGAAAAATTCGTGGAGCTTTTCAACCTGCTTGGAATTCAATCCGGGATCCCTAAACTGGTAGACTAACAGAGACACTTACATTTTCTATTCTTAAATCCCATGACCGCTAAACTACGTTGCATTGATCTAGATATGTCTCTGATATTGCCTAGATTGAATTCAGATGGGATTTGCTTGTCTGTTACCATGGACAATTCCAGCTAGATGCTGCTGTTCCCGGTTATTAAGCACTTGTAGATGGAAGGGATTATCACCCATCGTGGATTGTGCAGTGGCCACGATGGGTGATAATCCTTTCCATCATGTATTCTATATACATCATCGATCTAGGAAATATTAAATGTTCGCACAACTTCAGAATTGGAATGCCCCATCTCTCTGACACCCACTATCATATCTCATTCAAACTTCGATAATTGACGTCACCTTACCATAATCAGCCTGGCAGCTGTTAGACCTTACATACTTAAGAGAGGACACCTCACAACTGACAAAAGTCTTGCATTTATCCAAGCAACCACATGATGTACAACATCAAAATTTATATATTGCTATCCCATGACTTTTGGCATGTGAGTGTATATCTAATATATAGTTCAATTTTCCAATAAAATTAGCTAAATATAAAAAGAAAAATTAATCTTTCATATATTATTAACAATTTTTATTGATGCAATTAGATATTGAATTTCTTGAAAATTTATGCAAATTTATCACAATCACTCAATCATAAATTGTGTTAAATAAACAAATAATAAAATCAAAGCTTCAGAATATTAAAAATTTATTGTGTATTTACCAACTGTGACAATGCTATATAATACATGCACATTTGTGTTTTAGAATAAATATATTCTATATATATATATATACTCACACCTTCATTCATACATACATATATGTCTATTTAGAGATGTGTAAACTGTGTGTACTTGCTTAAATACATATATTTACAATAAAAATGTTTATAAAATCAAAAGTAATTTAACTATGCCAAAAATTTAGAAAAGATAATTGTCAATAGTAAAGATCAATAAACAAGTTTAAAATAGTACAATTAATACAATATTTCCAAGTTAATATACTACTGTTATAATTTAAATTCTTAATATGAGATTATCATTATAAATTTTTAATGACAATCTTTTAATTTTTTTTAAATTAAAAACCTTAAACTTTATAAATTATTGTTTTAAGTACTTTCAGTCAATTGTCTTTAATCAAAAATATAAATTTATAATAATTATTTAACAGTCATAGTAACTTTAAACATTTTCTGATAATACAATAAAACTTTATTTTTATTTAAATAAAATTATTTTTAATTACTTGTTTATATATTATATATAACAATAACAAAATTTGCTTTATTACAGTATAATAAAGTTCACTTTACTAACTGTTTTTTCTCAAATATCTTTGGAGAGCCAAGCCAAGGAAATGCACAAGAAAATCAGGGAGCTAAGTCATACAAATTTGTTTATGTAATATCTGGTGGTTATTCAGTCTGATAACATCATCATAGTGCACAAACTTAGGTGACAGCTATCTGATTTACTTGTGTGTTTCCTGATGATGAGCTTGGTTTCCTGAAAATGCCCAAGAAAAAACTGTTATTAAAGTGAAATCTATTATAATAAAGCAGATTTTCATTGTTATATTTTTAAAGAACTTGGTGTAGTTTTGCTACATTTATAAATTTGAATTTCTCTGCTATGCTTCTTTTAATATAATAAAATTATATTCTAGTTTCTAAATTTCATTAAAACTATTTGAAAAATATTACTATATAAATAAATTAATATACATACATTATAAAAAATATAAACTAATTAAAAATAAATGCTAAAATAATTTATTACTCAAAATTATTTCTAATGTTCTCTAAACAATTCTCTCTTATCATGGTAATTCTAATTAATAACTGTTATCTGAATATATTCAGATAGTGATATTTATTTGACTTTTTATTCTTGAATGCCAAATAAATTTGTATTTTTAAGTATTGAGCACATTAATTACAGACCTTTTATGTGACTCTATAAGAAAATTATAAAATATAACAGGAAAATAATTCCTAAATAATATAACATCATTTCTTATACATTAATCAATTGATTATAAATAAAATCAAATAAAATGTAACTAAAAGATAACATTTTCTTGTTTAGGTATAAAAAATTATCTTTTCTGATTAATTTTTTTATTTCATAAGAAAATACTAATTCTACTTCATAATACATTGTTACAGTTTTGTAATTATAGAAAAATTTCTTTTAGGTAGTGTAGTGATACCTAAACATTAATTTTGTGTTTATATAGTGTTTATAAAGTAGTACCTTTATCAGGAGCTACTTTTAAATAATTCAAAATTGTCCATTTAATAATCATTACTTACGAATTAACAAATCTTTTCATATTTTCACTATACATTGACAACAAATTCAGAATTAGAACTCATTCTACATTGCTTACATTTTTTTTATAGTTTGTTTATTAAATATGATGTTAACACAGTAACTGCTATTGCAATCAATCTTCTTTAAAAACTTTGGAAGATTTCAAATATATTTTCATAGTGTACTGGTAAATATTAGTTATGTACATTTCATATGTGGAATGAAATATCCTACATCATAATGAAAATTTTTCACCCAATCTTTCATATCTTACTTTAGCTACGTCTAAAATATCTGAAGATAGATCTTCTACTTTTGAATATCTTACAACAGTAAAATCAAAGATATCGCATAAAAATCCAAGAATTTCATCCTAAAAAGACCATAAATTTACAAAATTATTGATAAATTTTATTTAAGTAATATAAAGAATAAGAAATTCTTAAAGAATTCTTAACTATCAATATTTATATTTGATATAAAAAATTATCAGTATTTTTTTATTAATGATTAAGCATATCTAAATTATAAATAATATCATGCAGAGTTTAAGAAGATAATTAGATTACTTTCTCAATCTATGTTATATTAACATAAATAAATATGATAAAATTGTAAACTCTATAAAACAATCATTAGTTTCTTAATTTAATGCATAACTATTAAAAAATAATTGAGGTATGGTAATGATAAAATGATAAACATAAACATATTTTAATATCAAAACACTTACTAAAACACCTTTTCTTGCAGCCGACGCTTTATTATAACAACTTTCAGAAAGTTGTTATAATAAAGCGTTGGCTGCAAGAAAAGATGTTTTAGTAAGTGTTTTGATATTACAATATGCAGTCTAGAAAGAATTGAAACATATTTTAATATTGTTTAAAGTTTAAATTAAATAATATCACATAAGGTGATTAATAATAATATGCATAATAAAGATAATATTGTTTTAATAAATGTTTCATAAATCAATGATATTTAAAATTTCATCAAAAATCTTCAAACGTTCAAAATAATATTAAGATGATTACTGTCAGATAAAATCACTAAAAATATACTTTAAACATAAAATATAAAAACCAAACAATGTTTGTTCAAATGCTGATCTAGTTTAAAGTAAATAAGAAAATAAAAATGGTCAAAAACTTTAAAGATTCTGATTATTTATTGAAATTAAAAACTTTTCAGAACTTTAATGTTCTATCTTCAAATCCAAATCAAATATATTCTACAATAAATATTTTTTAACTAAATATGGTTAAACAAAAATATATTTTTCTTTAGAATTATTATAAAAAATATATAAGTGATTATAAATATTAAAATTTGCAAAAAGTATTCTGAAAGTATATTAAAAATGTATATCTAAGTTACTGAGCTTTAAAATCAATTATATTCTGGTTTATTGCATAACTGAATCAATTATAACAAGGTTCAAATACTTTCAAGCTTTTCATGGAAGATTATCATTAGATTATCATTTCATGGAAGATTATCATCAATCTTTTCATCTGTGATAATAAAACAAAGTTCGAAAGTACATGAAGCTTGTTTTAATTTATTCTCTTCTCCAAAAAACCAGAATTTAGTTCATATAAAAGCTATTTCATATAACTTCAAATAATCTCAAAAATGAAAAACTTAACTGTTACTCTAAAATTCATTTTTTAACTAAATTTTTTTCAACTTCAATATACTCGTAAATCATTATTCGAAAAAAACTATTGCAAAAAACAAATATCTTTGGTTAACTTGTCCCTAGATTTTCTATTAAAACAACTTTCCTGTATATATTTGGCTTATTTCAGGATAGAAACTCAAGTTCAAATATAAAAATTCCTTAAGAATTTTAAGTTTACTTAACAATTTTATATATCATGTCAGGCTTACCAAATAAAACTTGTCTATAGGAAAAATGTCTTTTTTCATGCTGTTTGACACAAAAAAATTTAGAAACATTCTTATTCAAAGAATAAACCAGGTTAACTGAACAGATTTCAAATTTTCCTAAATACACATAGTTAAATAAAGATATCTAGCATAACTGAAGATGTTATGAATTTTTCACATCATTTCTTAAGTTTCAATTTATTACCATACGCTTAACCAATTTTATGTGTAATATATCTGTTGTATTTGGTAACATTTCTGCAAACATCAGTTAAAATTTTTTAAATTTTATTAAACGTTACTATTTGAAATTTCTTTTTGTAAAGTTTTCTGATATATTATTTGAGATGTACAATTTAAAGAAAACTGTTTGTTAGTAATTGTATAATAGCATTGTTTTATGCATGGTTTCTAATTGCAGATTTGTGTTTTTCAGATGGTGAATGGTTAGATTAACCCACTCCTAGTGCCACTAAATTTGACTTTTAAACTCATGAAACTGTACTTCTATCTAGCTTTAAATCTAGCTTCTGACATTTCATGGAAAACTACTAAATGTTCTTCACCAAGATGAATATCCTGCTTTCCATGCATTTTTCTGAAATAGTCTACTTGATACAGTAAAATAAAATCTTGTTTAGTATATTAAGAAACATCAGACTAAAATGCTTTCATTGTAATAAAAAACAAGAATAACATTTTAAATACATTTTAATGTTTTCCTGTCAATTATAAATGGTTACATAAGGGTCTAGGCAATCATGTTGGATCATTTGAAGTGAAACACAACTTTTTACAGTGTTTTGTTTGATAAAGCACCTGCTGGTATGAAATCCCCCATATAAAATAAGACCAGCTGTATTTACTTACAGTATGATAAGCTATGAAACATTTGTGTTTGAATACAATCTAAACTCTTATAATTTATCACAGATAATTTCAATTGGAGTTCAATTCTCATTCTTTAACTATGCTGTTATTTACTCTAAACAAAATTAACAAAACTAACAGCTGTTATATAACTTATGCAATATTAGAAAAATCATTCCTCTCTGTTGTATCCATAATTTTGAAAATTTAAATTCAGAACATTTGGCAGTTTTTATTAACATTGCTTTATTCCAGTTTATTGTATATTCGATATTAATGCCATAGGAGAACTATAGTTTTAATTGAAAACTCTTGTTTGTTGCAATAGACTGTTGATAATATGCATATATACTTCAAAGATCTAACAATAAATATATTATTTAAAATATAAACATGTCTCACCTTAAAAGAAATGCAAACTTGTTTCAGGTTTTCATCAGGTCCAAGAAAGCCCCATGCTAATACTGGACTTATATGCTCAGAAATTGAATAAAAATGATTGATAAATCCATTTGAATACTGGAATATATATAAATTATTCTATAAAGACCTTAGTTTTTCATTATTTTTTAATTGTTATCTTATGAAAATGAATAATTTGGTTAGATATTAAAATAATATACATAAGACAATATGCTCCCTTTTGAATAATTCAAAAAGTTAACATAACGATAAAATATAAATATTCAAAATACTAATAATAATCACAAAGATAATCTTTGCTTTATTTCAGCAAAGTTTGAGAATGTGATTATTATTTGTATATTTCTTCAGTTTGAATTTTCTTTCCTTTTTTAATTCAAAATATTGACAAAAAATAATAATAATAAAAATTTGTAGGTTTCTTTATTATTTGAAATAAAGTTTAAATAAATCAAACTTATAAACTGTTCTAATAAATTTCTTTGCCTTTCTTATAAATTCAGATCTTCCAGCAATAATGGCAATTCATCAATGAAAAAATTGCAGTATTTCTCAGTATTCAACAAGAAAGGCAGAATACATGGTTTCAGCAAAATGACTGTCTAGCACATTATTTGCTCAACATTGCAACATTATTTGCTGATGCAACTGATGCAACATTATTTGCTTGCTGCTCAACTGTTGTTGACAGCAAGCAAATAATGGTTTGATAATGTTGTTGAGCAGCAATCATTGCATCAGTGTTACAATAGTTGGTGGATAGGACTTGGTGGTCCAGTACCTTGGCCTGCTAGATCACCTAATTTAACACCACTTGACTTTTTTATGGGACATCTTAAAGGAAAGGTATACTAGTACCAAGATGTATTGTACCCACCACCCCAGAAAATATGCAGGAATCAATATGAAATGCTTGTGAAAATATTCCTCAAGAAAGATTGGTGACAAGTTAAGTCTGTGCTTAAAGCACAGACTTAGCTTGTCACCAATCTTTTCTTAAATGTATCAAAAAATGTCTCAAGGTTGAAGGCCATTTTATTGAATACCTGTTAGATTAATTTCTTTATTGCAATTGATTTGTTATGTTTCAGCAATAAAATTTTCACTTTGAAAAAAAAGTTAACATTCTTTTAAAATTGAAATGTTGTAAAATGTTGTAATATAAGTGATAAACAGAAAATGTTTCAGGCAAAGGTTATTTGTGTTTCACATAGAATCAATTGCTCTATAAAAAAATATAGGTTTTCATTTGAAAATAACAAGTTGACCTTTGACACATCACACACATTATCAAAATAAAAAATACATATGTTTGTTTCCCCATCCCTCTTCAAAACAAACATTATTTTAAAAATATTCCTATGCAATACTTTTTTCAAGATATTTCACTGTTTCAGGTTACATGATTTACCCTGCATAATCACTTAGTGACTCAATTTAATTTTTTCACTATTAAATGGAAATAAACTTTTATTAGGCTGCAATTTGAAAAAATTGTAGACCTATAAATTCCCACTGTCATCCATCTGTTTATTTTTCCTTAATATCAATAACGATGTTAGATAGATAAAATCTGAGACCAGATACGGAAACCTTAGGAGGCCCCAATTAACTATGTTCGAACTTCCAATGCAAATCAGAAGTTACTTTATTTCAATTCAAAACATTTCCCTTGAAAGTAGTTAATACTCTATTCTTGAAGGAAAGTATGATGTACAGGGGCAAGACACTACAGTACTAATTTGAGATGGAGAGCATATATTTTTAAACAACAAAAAATAAAGTAACTGTGAAATAAAATGACTGGCAAAGAAGATTTGAGATAAAATTTGTTTTTGGGATACACATTTAATTTACAAACAACCAAACACTAGCAGATCTTAAAAAAATTGATCAATCATATAACTAAAATAAGTTATTTATCAACGATGTATGTTATANTCTGCAAATTACCTAGGTAATTTGAGAAATTGAACAATTTTCGCAGCTTTAACGGATCACCCTAGTTAATCTGCAGATTAGCTAGGTTATGTACACATTAACGGATTTCGAGCTTTAGCGGTAACATATACAGTATCTTTATTTTATATATATTTTGGGGTCGCGAAAAAAATCACAATCATAAATGGGGTCGTGAATAAAAAAAGTTTAAGAAGCCCTGTTATAAACAATACTTTCCAAAATTTCTACAAACAACACACACTATTGTATATATTACCTTACATAAAGTTTAAAAATGTATTTAACTACTAAAAACTGAGTAATATTTTGTTTCTTCTTACAGAACATTTATTTCAAGATAATTTTTTTTGCAATAATAGTTGTAACATTTTTATCTGTTCCTCTTCCTGCTATACCTCTAACAACCAGATAAACAATAAACAATCCATTCAATGCAATTGCAAGCTGTAATCCCATTTCACAAAATGTTTCTCTTCTATTTCTATAACACTTTGATCGTTTTTTTCATTTGTGATTTTTCAGTAATGCTTTTATCAGATAATCTTAATTCTTCTTCAATAATATTAATTTACTGATCCATTAAATTACCTGCAAATTGTGAATCATCAAGTATGGAATGTAACAACCTCTCTCAGAAGCACTGGAAAGAATAATCAACACACGAGAACCTTGTTCTCGTGTGTTGATTATGGAATGTACTGTACTTAATGTCCTAATTGCCTGAAGATGAAATTGTATTGACAGCATATAGTCCTTTACTTTTCACTATTCTCAATTTGATTCACTTTATTAGAAAATCATATTTTCTCTACAGTTTTAAGTTATCTTTTTTAAATACATGATCATTTTTATATTACTATCTTTCTTTAAATCATAATTTTTTACCAATTATTAAAAGTTATGTATTGATAAAATACAAAAATACATTTAAAATATTTACCTTTAATGAATGACGTTTTGCTTTAAGCACAGACCAAACAGCAGTTGCTAAAGCCTAGAAAATTTCAATATTAAATTGTATATATATATATATATATATATATTATTGTTATTATTATAATTATAATATTATATGGAAAAAATCAATATTTTGTAAAATGCACATAATGTTTTTAAATCAAGAAATTTAAATAGGTGGATTACATTATCTAAATAGTAAAAAATTAAAAAAGTAGATTATAATATTTAAAAGATAGCATGATATAAATAATTTTATTAAATAAATATTAATGAAAGCTGTCTTGATGTCTTTTATGATTCTTTTCTATGAAAATAGAATTATTTAAAACAAATTAATAATAATATTAAGTTCTTTTTTATCTACTTTGGATTATTTTATAATAATCTATTGAATTACCACATTATTATAAAATAAACAGGAAATATAAATAATTCAATTTTTTAATTATACATTTTCAAAATAATCAAATACTGTATGTTTCAGTCTATTACACAGAATATTCATGTAAATATGTCTATAGAATAAGTTTGTAAAGTCAAGTACAGTAAGAACCCGCTTAACGTGGGGGATGCATTCCTAGACAAAAAAGTGCTAAATGAAACAGTGTTAAACAAGGTCATTGTAATATAGAGTAAATAGGGATAGGGGAACATGCAACCAAAAAATAAACAAATTTTACTTTATTTTTGATAATCTGAAACTGTGTTGTAACTCTTCTTTGATTCTTAAACACTATGTAGTGTAATAAATTCAAACACTTAGCATTCTATCATCTTTACTTAGTTCAGTCAACTAAACTAAATAAAGATGATAGAATGCCAAGTGTTTGAATTTATTACACTATATAGTGCTTAAGAATCAAAAAATTTTACTTTAATTTTAAGTTATTTTTATATTAATTCGTATAATAATAATATATGTTAAATAACATATAAACATATGCACACAAAAATGTAAAGTTTATTTTTTGTGATGAAAGTCCTGACTCTATTGCAAAAAAACAAGAATTTCAGAAAAGTTGTGAAGTTTCATTTGTTGCTTTTTTCTTTCTTTAAGCAAATATCGGTAGCAGAAAATCACAACCAGAATGCCTCATTTTGCTTTTGCATTCCTTTGAAAATCTGGATCATTTGCTACAATTTGATCAACAATTTCGGTTATCGTTACCAAACTTTTACTAAGGAAATCTGTAGAGAAATTTTTTGGGTTCTTCGTTTTCAGAAACTCTATTTTCCAGTCCTACATGAATTCCTTGTTCTGCCAGTTCTTGAAAGTCATCATTGGTAAGGCTCTCACCATAAATCTGTGATAACTCCTCAATATCCTCCTCGTCTACATCTCCTAGTCCTGATGTATCAATTAGGTTGAGTTTGGTCAATCTAATGATACAGCAATAGGTTCTTCTTGTTGAAAATTCTTGGATACCTTCAGCTATAACTTCTTCCACACTTCGTTCATGCATTTATCAGTTAATTCTTGCCAAGCAAAGCCAATATTGCCTATGGTATCCATGATGTCATATTTTTTCTGAAATTGCACCAAACAAACATAGATTTAAAGAAAGTACACCTTTTTGCCACCTTTTTCTGATTGTTTCATGCTCGTAAATAATCGTATTATATACAAATCAATGAAATTATGCGATAATTTAAATTGGCATAAATTTTGAGCTTTTTTTAGGCTTCGAGCAGACCACATTATATTGAATCAGTGTTAAGCGGGGTCTTACTGTATTATAAAATGAATGGTAAATTTTCATATTTGCTATGCAAAAATATGATTTAATTCATATTTATAGAAAAATTTTCTAATTTTTAAAAATCCCAACATACCATTTATTAATGCTAATAGAAAAATTGCTATGTATAATGAAATAGAATGAATAACTAAACAATAAAAGTGTTATCTGTTATTTGAACTGAGATAATCAAATATAAAACACATGCTCTTAGAATAACAATTTTCCAGCAATATTGTAATTAGCCTAGAAATGATGCTGACTGTTCAGTCATTACATTGTGCAATATCATGATATATGTAGTTTTGTAAAAGCATAAAAATCTTTGTGTGTTTATAACTGTATATGGCACAAACATTTTTATAATTATATATCATATAACAGGAAGCCATCTTGAATTTATTAATTGTTGTAGTTTAGTGAGAATGTTAAGTTTTGTAAATATATTTTAAGATTATATTGCTAAAATATGTCAAAAAATTTTTATAAATTTGCTTATAAATAAAGCAAATTTATAAAAATCTAAATACATGATTTTTGAAACATTTTATCAAAAAAAAACAAAAAAACAAAAAACAGTACAAGTGAATTTATAATGCCAACATAGACATTTATATTTTAAAATTCATTTGTAACATATTATGACTATCTCTCATCAGGCAATTTACAGAAATTTTAGCACAATATAATACTTTTTAATTTAATATTTCAAAAAAAGCAAACATAATAAAAAAAAACAATTCGTTATAAAAAAAGTTTAAGAAGCCCTGTTATAAACAATACTTTCCAAAATTTCTACAAACAACACACACTATTGTATATATTACCTTACATAAAGTTTAAAAATGTATTTAACTACTAAAAACTGAGTAATATTTTGTTTCTTCTTACAGAACATTTATTTCAAGATAATTTTTTTTGCAATAATAGTTGTAACATTTTTATCTGTTCCTCTTCCTGCTATACCTCTAACAACCAGATAAACAATAAACAATCCATTCAATGCAATTGCAAGCTGTAATCCCATTTCACAAAATGTTTCTCTTCTATTTCTATAACACTTTGATCGTTTTTTTCATTTGTGATTTTTCAGTAATGCTTTTATCAGATAATCTTAATTCTTCTTCAATAATATTAATTTACTGATCCATTAAATTACCTGCAAATTGTGAATCATCAAGTATGGAATGTAACAACCTCTCTCAGAAGCACTGGAAAGAATAATCAACACACGAGAACCTTGTTCTCGTGTGTTGATTATGGAATGTACTGTACTTAATGTCCTAATTGCCTGAAGATGAAATTGTATTGACAGCATATAGTCCTTTACTTTTCACTATTCTCAATTTGATTCACTTTATTAGAAAATCATATTTTCTCTACAGTTTTAAGTTATCTTTTTTAAATACATGATCATTTTTATATTACTATCTTTCTTTAAATCATAATTTTTTACCAATTATTAAAAGTTATG